TACTACTGTTCTCATGGAGTTTGTGTCATGCTTATTTGAAAAGAAAAGTTAAATCGGTTTGAGGAGAAACCGGTAAGAGAGGATGTCTGGTGTATAAAAGCGGTGAAATTTGGCAAAAATGATACTTCCAAGTAACTTCAATTCAATATGTTCGCCAAGTGGTAAGATTTTCATTTCACCTAGAAATTATAAACTTTTGGGATTGAATTATGTCGAAATCTAGCTTGAAAATTGTACCCAATAGGAAATTGACCTGAAATTCGAAGAAGGCTGACAGATAACAATTGTAAATTTTGAACCATAAACTGAAACGTTTAAAAGGAAATTGAACTGTTCTAAGCTTTTTAGAGCTCTGAAACTTTGTCTTACAGTATCCAATTTTATGAATATCTTTTAAACTTCTAAGAGAGATTAGAAAATGAATAATCCAAAACTAGATCTGAAATTTCATTTTTTTTCCAACATTCTTCTATTACAGGAACCCTCATTATTTTTCAGCATCCTCGCTCTCGTTCTCTGCTCCATGATGATTGGATTCTCTCATCAACAAGTGGTTGTCCCAGCCTATTCAGCAGCCTATTATCCATCTGCATATGCCTATCCATCTGTCTATTCTCCATATCTTACTGCTGCTGCATATCCATCTGTCTGGGCATGGGGATCCAATAAGAATAAGGCTAATGCTGGAAATGAGAATGCACCAGCTCCTTCTTTGGTCAACAACAGACCTGTCAGTGCTTAGGAAGTTATTCGAAACGAATTTTTTATGTAAATTTCGAAATTTTTTTGAACTGAAAATAAACACATTTTCTTGCCAACCCACATATTTTTAAGCTCTATTATTCTTTTCCGAGTCAAACGATCCCCAAAGTGTCAAAATTAAAGAGTCCCTGGAGCAAAACAACCTTTGAATTTCTGGAATTTTGAATTTTGAACCTTTGAATTTCTGGAATTTTTCAAAAATTTAGGTTTGTTTGGAATTTCTGAATTTCACATTCGAAATTTTAATTTTTTGCAATTACTAACTTTCCTGAAACCCCAGAAATTCCGAATAACTTTTATAAAAAAAGAATTTCTAATTTTATAATGTTGAGAATTTGATTTTGGAAAATGTTCTGAATATGAGTTTCATCAAATTTCTGATTTTCAGAAATTTTGAAATTTTTGGAAGTTGAGATTATAGAGAGCTTGAGATTCACACTTTTTGGATTTTTCCAATTTGTGTCGGAAAGTGTCGGCATCGCACCAAAGATGTCCCAACATTTTCTCTCCGTCTCTCTCCTCTCCTCAAAGGTCCCTTTGTCGTGTGCCGAACCAAAACATTGCCCTTTGATGTGTTCTTTTTTTAATTTCTCTGCGTCTCTCTTCCTCTCTCACCTGATGGTAAAAAAAACCCGAGTCTGGCACAAAAAATTCATTACTCTTCTATTCGAAGCGGATGTCTGATTTTTTTTGCTTCAAAATGTCTTTTTGATTTTTTCTGAGTATTCCTAATTATTCTTAGACCCCCCCCCCCCCTCATCGATTATTTCTGTATATGACGGTGCCCGCATATTGGACCAACACTTGCTGGACCTCATGGAGGTTTTGGACTGCCATGTGTTTTGAACAATGGACCCTCCACATCTGCGGCTGCGTTGGCTCCACTTCAACATGACGTTACACAAGGACGAGGCCAACGTTTCGATTGGGACCCAGCACCAACACTCCAATCGTCTCCATTCGATGCCTCCGTTCCATCCACATCGTCTCTCCCAGCATCGACGAGACATCAAAACCAGGTACACAAAAAGAATTTTGAAATATGAATTTTTCCTATTTAAAGCAGTTTTTAGGCACCAATGCATTTGCGCCCGCAAACCAGATCTGGTCGAGACTCAATGGATTTGTTTTGAAAAAAAATGTCAATTAATTTAAATAAATATTTTTTACGAAAGTTGCGTTTTTTTTCTGGAAAGTCGAATTTCATCCAAAAGTTTAGACCGAAACGAGAAAGTACAGGAGAAAGAATAATCTGGAAAACAGAAGAACCTCAATTTTGCCATTTCATAATTTGTTCATCTAAAAATTCGGAATTCGTCGCAAATACTTAAACTCCAATAAGCTTACTAGGTTGTAAACTTTTTTCAAATATAATTTTAAACGGGGGAGGGGGGGGGGGGGGGGGGGGTGGAACTTTGTTACGAGACCTATATCATTCGAAAGCTGAAAATGATACATTTTCAAATCTATATTTTGCTAAAGAGCTACCAGTTTCGAGAAAAAACTGGTTTGAAATGCGAAAAAATGAAAATGCAAAGGGAGATCCCATGGTGACATTTTGGCAAAAATTTTTTTCGAAAAAACTTGAAAACTTTATAGGGAGAATGAGACATTTTCAAATCTATATTCAGATTTTGCTAAAGAGCTACCAGTTTCGAAAAAATCAAGTTTCAAATTTGGCTCAATTTCGAGTCTACCGAGCGCCGCGTCTCCTCCCTTTTCTTATATGCATTGGGGAGCGTAGAGAAAGCAGCGAGAAGTGGTTTAGTGGCGAAGAGTTAGGACGGTATCTGACTAGGTGTAGGTTCGATTCCTAGTTTTTTTTTGTTCTTCTTTTCGGTCTTTGTGGCAATCTTCAAAGTGTCAAGACAGCATTTTTTCCATTAAAAAATTGCATTTAAATACTTATTGGTTTGGAGAATTTTACTTTTCGACAAATTTTGAGAAATACATACATCATAGTTTTCGAAAATTTCTTGGAGCAACACTACAAATCTTTCTTCTGTTCTTTATGTATAAATCCATCAGATTTGTTTGCTATTGGGATTGCACAGTGATGAATCAATGAGACATAATGTGAATTTATGTTTTTACAAGTTTTGAATTCTACTGGGTGATTATCGAAGTAATATGGATTGTAGGATATTTGAAAAAAAAGTTCGAGATTCTCGATTTCGAGAAGAATAAAGTTTTCAGATCTTATGAAAACACTCATTCTATCATTTCTGTACGTTTAGAACTCATTTTAGCACATTTGAAAATTTTTCGAAAAATTGTTGTAAAAAAGCCAAGGCCAAGCCCATGGATTTTTGAAAATCGAGAAAACTTTCGCAGATCATAGAGTAACATTTGAAATTGGAATTACAATCAAAAAACTTCCAAAATCACCAATCATCGAATTTCTTTTTCTCAAAAATCAAAATGTATTAGGTTGGTCGAAAAGTAATGCGCGCTAAGTTTGGGTTTTCTAATTCACCCGTAAACGATGGCTTTGGCTTAATTTTTTTTTCATCATAAAGAGCATGTCTTTAGCTTTGTTGTTGCTCATAAATTAATTGTCTGAATTAATTTTTGAATTAGAAAGAGATTTAAAATGATGCCCAATCAAATTTTCGCTTTTGAGCCTACTTTTAGCATGAGTTCAAAGACGGGAAAACAGCCGCTGAAGCCGACCGCATCCGAAAATCACTATTGACGCTGGTTCCAACGATCGAGTAGCGTCGACGAATGCTTGGAAAGCAAAACACGCAGTTTTGTCTAAAAAGCTTTGTCGGCGATAATTTGGGACAGGCAACTGGAACTGTGCCTAACAACTCGCTGCCTATGAGGACAGTTTATATTCATCCTAATTACAATTCTGGAAAACGAACAAATTCGGAAAAAGGGTGTCACACGAACTTTCTGATGATAACAAGATGAAGCGCATCGAAGGGATCAGTTTTCTTTCTAGTTTTCTCCTGCGCCGTTCAAAGAATCGAGGTTTCTTGAATCCAATTCTGATGTTGAATGAGAGATGGACTCAGTATGACTGCATTGGTAAATTATGACAGTGGCTAAATCATGGCGAGGCACCAAAACCGACCCAAAAACCGAGCATGCACGGTGAAAAGGTTATTCTATGTGTCTGGTGGAATACGAGGTCTGGTGTATTTTGAATTTCTAAAGCATGATCAAATAGTGACTACTGATCGTGATAAAGTGTAGCTGTACCGCATGGACCTGGTGCTCAAACGGCAAGGAGTGGGCACATCGGCAAAGTTTCTGGTTCACGGCAATGTCACAGCCAGTGGAGCTCTTTCGTAGAGGCATCGAATCTTTGCACATACGTTGGCAGTAAGGGGTCATTAATGATGGGCAATATCCCCTCAATTAATATTTCCTTGCTTTGTTTTTACAATAAAAATAAAGTACATCAAAAACGCGCATTACTTTCCGACCAACCTAATAGTTTGACAAAATGGTTCAAAAATAGTTTTTCGAAGCATGTGACATGATTATTTAGATAGTTTCAAATTAAACAGTATGACCCTATAAAGTTTTCAAGTTTTTTCGAAAAAAAATTTTTGTCAAAATGTCACCATGGGATCCCCCTTTGCATTTTCATTTTTTCGCATTTCAAACCAGTTTTTTCTCGAAACTGGTAGCTCTTTAGCAAAATATTTATTTGAAAATTTCTCATTTTCAGCTTTCGAATGATATAGGTCTCGTAACAAAGTTCCACCCCCCCCCCCTTTTACAACCTTCCCTAGTAAGCTTATTGCGCATCCAAGCGAAAACTGGGAATCCTGAGTTTTCGAAAATGTCTTGCTGTTTTACTTCCTACAAGCAAATTTCAAAAGTATATTTGAAAAAATGGAGGATTTGTTTTCAGGTAATCGAAAAATTTCAATTTTTTTCAGGAAACTGTTGATTTCAATAATTTTTTCGAAAGACTTTTCCAGGTTTCTGTAAATAGCGAAAAACCGAAATTAATATTTTTTTCATTTATGAGTTTTTTTTTAGAAATTTCTGAAAAACTGACGAAAAATATCAAAAAAAGTGAAAAAAATTTGGAGTTCTTCTGTAGAAAACTTTCTCTTCTATGAAAAATTTCCAGATCTTTCATCAATAAGCGACTGTGATGAAGGATGTCTTTTGAATAATTCAACGAAAAACGCCAAATGCTTTTCTATAATTTGCACACAATCTGAAATCGTTTTGGACATCCCACCTGCCTATGAATTGGAACCTGTGGATTTTAGAAAGTTGGTCATAAAAGTTTCAAAATTTTCTAGAATTTTCAGAATTTCAGACAAACTACTCTGGAGGAGAAGAATTGTGAAACGGATTCCAAAGGAGATCAGACGTATGATAAATGGGTACAAACAGATTTTATTGAGACCGAGGTGAGTGTACTTCTTGGATTTTCAGATCCTTCAAAGTCGAATTTCTGATAAATATAAGAATGTCGATTTTTTAATTCGTCTGAATTCTGATGGCTTGCAGTTCGAATTATGGATGAGCGAGAGCTAGAATTTTAATTAGAATTTTAATATTTAATATATAATTCCAGACAGTTTCCTGTTTTGCTGACCTCCCCCCAACGAATCGGGAACCAACCTACTCGGAAAGTGCATTAGAGCGTGTCCTCCGTCACATGAGTGCCCATTTACATCGAACACAATTACAACAGTGGCTCGCTGAGCAACCACAAAGAAAAGCTTCGTTTTCGATTCGACCAGTTCAGACGAAAACTATTTATAGAGCGATTTTTAATAAGGAAAGGGTGGGTTTTTAGGGTAGCAATAAACGGAAATATGAAACTTTTTGAACACACTAAAGTAGCAGACTTTTAACTTTGAGACATTTTATCACGGTTCTCAGAGACTTTTTAGCTTCAAGTGGCTCCTTCCCGGCGCCTTCATGTCTATTAGCCGACGAATCCGGCTGATAGCCCGTGTTTTTGGCTAATTGCGATCGTTTTTGGCTCGATACAGTGAATAGCGCTGAAAGCGGAGAGAAATGGCTAATAGCGGAGCGAAACGGCTAATAGCGGTACAAAATGGCTAATAGTGGTGAAAAACAGCTGATAGCGGAGTAAAACGGCGAATAGCGGCGCAAAACGGCTAATAGCGGAAAAAAATGGCTAATAGCGGAGCAAAACGGCAAAGAGCGACATGTGTGTGGAAACCCTTCTGATAGATGTTTTACGGTATCTTGATTCCTGTAAGAACTTTCAAAATGTTCAACTGATAAAAAACTTGTCCAATTATGATATTAGTAATATCATAATCTCTTTCATTGGAATGTTTTTAATTGTAAAATATCCGTAAGCCATAGTGAAGCTTTCGAGTTTTTCAAGACTTAATTGTCTGCATCTTATCAGATATATTTTTGAAAGTGTTAATCTCAATTACGTTTTTAAATACGTTTCTTTTTCGATTCAAATTGCTTTTTTCAATCGAAATTTTCACAAAAATCGACTTAAAAGTCTTTCAGAATCTTCAAAGTTTTTTTATTTTCGAATCACAGGAAATTATGAACAAAATAAGAATCACAGAATACTGTCAAGGAGTTTTTTTTGAAAATCAATTCACACAAAAAAAATTATAGACCCGAAAACATCACAAACAAAAATACCAGAAAGAAAAATCAGAATGGGGTGAAAAAATGATATGAGAATGAGAATATTGAGAAAATAAGAAAAATCGTGCCTCAAACAATCTAATACCGTAAAACCTGTAATAGAAGGGCCCACACACTACCAACTTTGAGCTCAATTAGCTCGATTACTGTAAAGGATATCAAAAATCTGTTAACTGATGAAATATTTAAGATATTGTAATAAACAATTTATCAGTTGACAGATTGTTTATATCTTCCGAATGAACTTACATTAGATAAATTGACTCACAGTTGAAAGTTTGGGGGCCCTTCTATTACAGGTTTTACGGTATGATAATTTTACAAAACAAAAAGTGGGATTTCTTCAAAAATAGTCTAACATTCTCCCTTAACTTTTCCCATATTTCTCCATAAATCGATTAACTTTTGAAATGACACATTGATTCGTTTTCGATGCCAAAAACCAGAAGCCATTCAGTGCCTGTCTTGTCTCCTTATTTTTTGTCCCAGAATTGAAATTATTGTTCAAAATAAACGGAATTTCTCGATCCCTTTCGTCCGTTTTGTACCTAAAAATTTTGAATTTTTGCTCTGAATTTCTCTCTGAAAAGGAGTCATAAATCAATCGAACTGACCATTTGCCATCTGCTATCTCATTATATGAAAACTGTCGACAGATGAGACCATTATTTTGGGACGCACATAATTGATTCATGATGTCCTGGAGAGGGAGGTTGTGAATTATTTAGGAGGACATTTGAATTTTTGGGAAGTGATACTTTAAGATTTTGAAATTGAAAATCTAGGAAAGCCCTCATAGATTTTGAAACTTCGAGATTTGGAGATTTTGATATTCTGAGATTCTGAGTTTCTGAAATTCTGAAATTATCAGGTTCGGAGATTCTGAGATTCTGGGATTCTGAGATTCTAAATTTCTAAAAAACAGAAACCAACCTGATCATAAAGTTTCTTATCACCATTCAACCTCGTTTTCATTTCTTCCATAAACATTTTCGATCCATTCGTTGGACTGATTAACATTGGGTCAAATGCCAATGTATCCCAACTTCCACCGTCATATCCTTTCACTGGGACCACAATATCATAGTCTTCTTCTGAATTCGTTCGGTTCGAAAACAGCAAAAGTGGGTCCTGAAATTTTTCTTTGGTTTTTTTCTCGAATTTTCAGACAAATTATTTTTCATAAAAATGTATTATTATGAAATTTTCAAGAATTTTTTCGTTTGTCCGTTCATTCAGATGTCCCTCACCTTGAACCACGTCGCATCCGTCTCAATTAGAACATAAGGAATATCATTTTTTGTTAAAAATTCCATCAAATTTGCTCTTAAAGTTAGTATGTTGATGTATTGCTGTTTTCCCCAATCGTATCCATTTTTGTAATTTTCGATTTCCAAAGAAACACATTTTATCGTTTCGTCCCATTGTGACCGAATTGATGTACATGTCGATGGGTCCATGCTGACAATTAGGGTGCGGTTGTGAACATTCTGGAAAAGAAATTGAGAATTTTGGATTATTTGAAAATTTTGGAGACTTCTCAGATTTTCTAAAACGTTTTGGAGATGTCTAGTAAAGTCTTTAAAAGTCCTGGAAATTTCCAAAAAAAACTTACATCCATAGATGCTGTATTACAAATCCAATTCAACGTCAGCCTCTCATAAGCATTATTTATCATTGCTACATAAATGAAATTTGTAGACTTTGAAGTTTGATTTAGAAGATTTTCAGCTTCGGAGAGCAGATTCTGGAAAACAGATTTTTGAAAAATTATCCCAACTTTTCAAATGTTTACCATTTTCACATTTCCCGAAATTTCGGGAACTCCTTCATCTTTAGGCACCATAACTGGTTGAACTACTTTTGGTTCTGAAAAAAAAAGTTTTCGGATTCCTGCCGCTAGGATCTGAGCTCTTTTCGGATCTTTTTCGGCCTATTTTTCAACTTTTTATTAAAAATTGTGAAAAGAAAATTAAGAAACCTAAAAAAAACTCACTCCTCCTTTTCTGTCCCCGAACCCCACCGAATCCCAATGCTGACAGTTTTCCGTATCCAATCGCTTCGATCACATTTTTCCCCTTTTTCAAATGTTTTCCACCTTTGGCGAGAAGTGGTCCGTCTTTGAGATTCTTGAAAAAATTTTCAATTTTCGAAATTTTGGATTTTTCGAAGTTGGGGCTTTCTGAATTTTTACAGAGACTTTTGGAATTCCGAGACTTTTTTTAGAAATTCAGAATTTTGGGACTTTCAGTATTTTATATTTTCCGGAGAAAAGTTAAAAGCATACTTGTAATTCGGGCCTTTGCAGGGCTTTCGCGGGCTCTGCCATAACTTCTTTCAGAATCTATATTTTCGAACCAACTCAATCAGGTATGATAGAGCTCCACGAGTACTACGAAACGGTATTATTTGGAATACTTTATCTTGTCTATGAACAGAGTTACAGAGCAAAAGGAGC